GCAATTTCAAGATGTTTAATGTAGGATGCATTAGTTTATGACAAGCCATTTTAGCATATAATCGGATTCACGACACTTCCATTCCAGAGATCTGAAATTGAATAATGAGTCATATTCGTTATTGAAGACATCTCTAATTATGTTTTGACTAGTCAAAATATTTATTTGAGATATCTGTAATTACATTTTGACTAGTATAAATGACGTCAGATTTACCATTGAGTTCTATGGAGGTTTCAATTCAAGATATCTTAAAAGGAATTTTGACTAGTCAAAAACAAAATTCGAGAAATCTGTTAGTTTTGACTAGTCACTAGTTGCTTTCAATATATCTCACTTTTAGTTCTGACTATAATTCCAATTAAAGATAGCTTAAATGACATCATTATTTAAGATATCTTAAACGTACTTTTAGATATCACAAAAATATTTGACCATTTCAAATTCAATTACAGATATCTTGAAAGCAAATAATGACTAGTCAAAACTAAATAAGAGATATCTAGATCTGTAATTACTGTATGACTAGTCAGAATTCCTTTCAAGAAATCTCTAAATTAATTTAAGACATCTTGATTTTTTTTCATCTAGAGGGCTTTTCTGTTTAAGATATCTTGAATAATAATTCTGACTAGTCAAAATGTCAGATTTACGTAGTATTTTGGTGGAAAAATTACTACATAGACAAAGCTAAACATAAAGACCGTAACATTACACTGCAGCCGACATCTTGGATAGGTCCCCATCTAAAATAATCATAGCTCCACGGTTTTTTACCCAATTTTCACAGTTTGTTTTGTTACAAACAGCAGAGATGTAGTTATAAAGAACACTATCACAAATGAAAAACCTGAGCTTTTATTTTTAAATACAGTATCTAAATAGCTTTATTTTATAAAACAAATTGGATCCCGTGTCCTATCCTATGTAGGGCCTGCTGTACATATTGTCTGGATGAATACATACATTCGTTTCGTGTTATCAGGTATGCGTTTATTCTTTTACTTTATATATGGCTCAAAATAAACTCAAAATTTAAGACAGACATGGTAAAGCATATTAAAAGTATAAGTTAATAGAAATTGTCATTTACTCTTGAGAAAAATGCACCAGCAGCAAAGTGACAGGCAATTTGCACAGGGTAAATTAAAAAATTAGGAAATAAGTAAATTTTACTTTTGGAAAAAGCACACTTGATGACTTCTGATTACACAGCAATTAATTTATAGGGCAATATGTCTGTCACTGGAAGTCTTCAAAATGTATAAAATACATATTTTCATACAAAATATGGCTTATTTGTGCAGGGGTCACAATTTTGGCTTAGACAATGTTTAGCCTTTTGTCCACCGCAACACCCTGACCTGTAGAGAATCTGTGCCTTATTGTTTTTAAAACCTTTATATGGAAATATCAYAGGTGATAATGAGGGGATCCTGGTTAAGGCACACCAAATTAAAACCTGTTGTGACTGAGAGACTAGATCTCCCAAATTTATTTGAGAGAATTTCCTTCAAGCACTTCTCACAACCAAATAAAGATTCTACACAAGTCAGATGCCATTTTTCACCATTTTTATTTGACCGAAGATAAAAATGGCAGGAGTATCTGCAGGGTAAAGGAAAAATATGAGTTTTGCACAAGCCTTAAAATTCACAGTGCAGCTACATATGACAAGTTGTGAAGCACTAGGAGGATCTTGGGAAGACTTTCTGCTGGTGTCCATGACCAGGTCCATGTTCTTTCAAGTAGTGGATGTTCTGATAGTAGTCCTTGCCCTTCTCATGGCTTTTGCTGAAGGTGGTGTAGGTACCAGGAGGGTACAGACCATACAGCAGCCTGTAGTCAAATACTGGGTAAGAGTAGGGGTACAGACCAGGGTAACCCCAAAAAACTGGCATGAAGGGACTGGCAACAGGGTACGTAGACTCAGCTGGGTAGCCAATTTCTTCACTTTCATACTGGGATTTGCCAACTTCAGCATCCTTCGAGACACTGGAAGTTTCTCCAGACTGGAAGACAGGACCAGATGGTGGAGGAGGAGGGGACGCTGGGAGATCACTGGAGCCCTCTTCAGGGACCATTTGAGGAGGAACAGTCCACTTGGTCTCTGTGGAAGAGAACAGTGAATTTAAACTGATTTAAGAGAACCCATTTAAATCCTGATGTCACAGGATCTTACCAGGTGGACCAGACTGTGCAGCTTCAGGCTGTGAATATCCAACTGGAACAGGCATAAAGACAGCACCACCAGGGTATCCTGCTGCAGGCATAGAGCTCACACCACCTGATGCATAATCTGGCTGGACAAACTGGGAGAAGCTGGGACCTTGCACTGTTCTAGGGAAGTCTTTGGAGACACCATGAGACGTGTGTGCATAGTGGTCTCCAGCTCCTCCATGGTGAAAATGACCTCCTTTRTGTGAGCYACTGCTGCTCTGGTCCTGGAATTCAGAGCCTGGACAGAAAAATATGAAGTCAGTCAACATTATCTACACATTTAGTTTGAGAAAAGTCAGAAACTACCTTTAACTGGAAAGCCCTGAGTAACCAGAACCAACGAGGCACAGAGAGAAAACCTAACATCAAAACAAARGTTCTACATGAGTCACTGCTTTATTATCAGAATGAACTAATATCTGATATTAAACTTCATAAATACCTCAGGAAGATGCCAGCAGTCACCATGATGGAACTCAGCAGTAAAGAAGAAGAACATGGTGAGTGTTTATAAATGTTGGAGAGAACACGTCCTAACCAATCAGAGCTTAATGAGTTAATGACTCACAGCTGCTGATTATTGACTCTGGAAAACAGTCAGTTTTGCAGGTACTTATTTTGTAAAAATCTATTGTAATCACAGTAATATTCTATTGGGAAAAGACAGAGTAAATCAATAATCAAAGGGAAAGAAGTAGGAAAATGGCAAAAAAGTGGAATGAAGACAAGAAAGGAAGAAATTTAGACAAAAATCAGTTKMCTAATAACAGAGAATTTTGGAGAAAGAAGCTGACGAGAAGAAGTGATAATGACAAGTTTGAGAGATGGTCATATATTGCTGAATGACTTTTTATATCTAATAGTGAGATGGACAAATTAAATGTTTGATGTTTGTGGAGAAAAAGAAAATGTAGAACATGGTCTGAAGAAATATGTATTAGCCAAAAGAGAGATGCTAAAGAAAAGGCAGAAGAGGCAGAGTTAGGGTGGAGTTTGGGAACAGAAGGGAATAAAGAAGAAAGAAATGATATTATTAAAGAGCTATTTAAATATTTACATAATACAAAATTGAAAAATAGAATTTAATTAGTGGAGGAATTGTACACTGTTGTACAGTAGGCAGCAGTATGCACTAGTGATAGGCCAAACAACACTGATGAGTCGACACATGCATTGAGCTCATAGAGCGAAACCCCGTGTCGGTGTGCGTATCACTAAAAAGGTCACGCAACCGATACAGGAACTGTTTCRAACTGACAGTGATGCGAAGCGTATCTGTCAACGTGATGCATCTGCTAAAACAATCTCTGATCTTTTGCAATTCATCATCATATTCATTTAGAATTATGGAGTAGCCTCAAGCCAAAAGAAAGGTTTCTGCCATGTGGGACCATTTTGATCTGATATGCATACATGTCAACCCCTTCGGACAATTACCTGTAGCCTTAAAAATCTGTAGTCTATTACTCACACGTGGGGGGGTTGGCCGCAGAGTGTCTGCACAAAGCAGAAAGAAAGGAGGACAGGAGTAGAGCTGGGTTGAAATATTAGTTATTTGATGTTTTTTTTTTAAGTCTTACAGGCTCTGAGATGTAAAATAAATATGAAACTGGGTTTTTGGAAAAAAAAATCTGTGAAACTTGAAAACAGTCCATGAGATTGCTGTATATGTCTGTATACCAGCAAAGTGAGAGGAAATCTGTGTAAATTATGGACAGTCCGTACAACTTGACATGTAGGCTATGCAAATCAGAAAATAAGGAATTTGTTATAACTTCCTTGTTTCATCCTGTTCCTCTCAGAGTTTCCACATTGATCTATCTGAATTCAAATTCATTCCAAAGTGACTCTTAGTTTACTCTTCATATTTGGTTAAATGTGTTTGTTTATGTTTGATGAACATCTGCTTACCGACACCTGGTGAAAATTTCATGTCATTAGCACCTCTAGTAATATATTTACTGAGAAAAATGGTGACGTGTTCAATACTTATTTTACCCGCTGTATTTGCATGTGAAGAAACAGGAAGTGATGTCAAAGGGGAAAGTCTGCATGTAAACAGAGTGATGCTACAATAATTAGAGACAAATCTGATGTTTCTTTAGATTATTTTGAGTCACTGTCAGAGTTGAAGAAGATTTTAAATTGTTTCATTAAACAAAGACTAGAGAGTTTCTTTTCTTAAAGAGTTCCCCTTTGGTGTCACTTCCTGTAAGGGTTACAAATGAAGTTATTATATTTTGGGCTGATTAATATAAAACAAATGCAGCGTGAAGGTTCGTTCTATGGTGGATGGATCACTCCAAATATAAAAATATAAGCTGGATGCGAACAGATGGCTTTATTAACAGTTCTTCGGATCTCCACACTTTTTTTTTTCAGATGAAAAATGTATTTAATCACAAGGGTTAAAAAAGTAGTATTTATATTTTCACATCTTAAAATGGCAAAGTTATGTTACATTTTTAATTAACACTCAACTTGTTTGACCCTGATTTTTTGCAATCTCAGAAATAAAAATATATACATTTACAGTTTTACAAACACTGAAAAAAAAAGTTCTAATCAGAAATCTGATGATCTTTCTGTAAATGTCCCTGCATGTGGTCGAGGGTAAATTTAATGCAGATGGATTAATGTACTTAATGTACAAAACAGAAACAAGCCAGAGTTTCAGCTACAAGAACAACAAGAGTTTATGGGACAGTAATGTCCTGCGGTTGGACTCACTGATCTTAGAAGCAACACAAGAAACCCTCAACAAACAAAAAAGGAAATTATTTTAGTTTTCAGATCTCAGCTGTGTCTCCAAAATGACAGTAAAGTCGTATTCCAGCATGTAGAGGTTCAGTAAAGGTTGTCTGGACTTTGTGGAGGAGAGTCATGGTCTTAGAGACGCTGTAGAAAGACAGGATACCTGCTCCATGGTCCAGGTACACTCCTACTGTGGAGACCTTACAAACTGAGATACGTGTTTTGATCTTGTTGTGACAAAATTCATTTTTGTTTTGATCACAATATAAAGCCCAGGATTTATCATTATATCCAAATTCACTGTTTGTTCTATCAACATCTTCGTACGCGACTGCTACAAAACCTCCTCCTCCTCCTCCTCCTCCTCCTCCTCTCCACTTCACCTCCCAGAAACAACGTCCAGTCAGACTCTCTTTACTCAGAATCTGAAATTTTACAGTGAACCTTTCTGGGTGATGAGGATAAGGTTGTTCGTCCCTCACTATTGTCACTTTTTTGTTCCCCTCAGACAATACCAGCTGTCTATTTGCTGTGTTTGGATCCAGTGTGATGTCACGTAAATATTTTAAGAAGTCAGTTCTGGTTTTAGGTTCTGGGTTTGACAGTGAACGCTCCACCTCAGTGACCATCGTTGAGATGTTTGTCCAGGYGTCTCTCACAATGTCCTGCAGTTTGTCTCTGAGCTCCAACACAGCGGCTGTCAYGTTCTCAAAGTATCTCAGAGGACGGACACTGACCCTGGAGCGTGGAGCCTGACTGAGGGCTGACTCTGAGGGGTAGTTGTGCAGAAACCAGTTGTGATCCTGTGTGTGTGAGAGCTGAATCAGCTCAGCATCYTCCTTCYTCAGCTCCCTCATCTCCTGCTCCAGCTTCTCCTGACGCTCTTTGACTCGACTCACAGTTTCCTGCTGAGATCTGACCAGCTGCYTCGCCTCAAAGCTTCTTTCCCGGATGACCCGGATCAGGCCGGYGAAGATCTTCTCACTGTCCTCCAGGCTTTTATCAGCAGAGACGTTGATGKCCTCCAGCTCCTGCTGAAGCAGCTTCATGTYTCCTGGATTCTCTGCTGGATGTTTTCTCGCCTCACCTCCAGCTTCTTCTGCTCCTCGCTGCGTTCTGCTGCAGCTGAGACGATGTCGTGGCCTTTMTGTTCGTCCACYGTGCAGACGTGACACATGCTCTGCTGATCAGTGCGACAGAACRTCTTCATCCCCTCATCGTGACGAGAGCAGATGTTCTCATGGAGCTTCTTGGAGGGCTCCACCAGCTGATGTTTCTTGAACTGAGCTATTTCATAATGAGGCTGGAGGTGTTTCTCACAGTAAGACACCAAACATTTCAAASAGGACTTTATGGCTTTGAGTTTTCTCCCAGTGCAGGCATCACAGGCCACATGTTCAGGTCCAGCAGTAGCTGTGATCAGCAGGAGCAGCTTGGAGTCCGGTCATCTTCAGCTGCTCAACTAAAGCCGCTAACAGGAAGTTTTTCTTCACAACAGGCCTCCTCGGTGTGAAGCTTCTCCTGCACTGAGGGCAGCCGTAAATATTCTTCTCATCCTCTTTATCCCAGAAGTTGGTGATACACTTCCTGCARTACAGGGAATAGTGACCGGAACCTTCAGTAGATCCAGAAAGATGGAACATGAGAAGCTCTCTGTGTTCAGCTGGAATCCTTTCAGCTCCACACACATCAATTCCCCCACAACACTTCCTGGTCATAATATCACATGTCCCAAATCAACMAATCAGAAGCTAGCTGTAAGATAAACAAAACAAGTGAAACAGAAAAGCAGATTCAGCTTATTTAAAACAATTTTAACTATGCTGTTGAACATATTTTAAACTTTGTAAATATGTAAATAATAATTCTGCTCATAAATGTAAACAACCACTGTTTAAAAAAACCTAATTTCTTTTATATTAACCAGCGCAAAATTTAATAACTTCATTTGTAACCCTTAAACATCCTCTTTCACGTTGCTGAGCCAAATTCAACAGAGAATATGCGAGTTATGAGACAAAATGGGTGAAATCATGTGTATTATGCTAATTATCTTAAATATAAATCTGTTTTGACTTTTTGTATTTGAAGGATAAGCACGTCACAGGCACTTTAAACTAAAGGTTGTGGGGGACAAAGCAAGAGGTTGAGGTTACTCAATGTTCAGTCCACTCACTGAGTGGACTGAACATTGGAGATCTTAGTCTCCAATAAAATGTATAAACCTNGCTGGAGGTGTTTCTTACAGTAAGACACCAAACATTTCAAAGAGGACTTTATGGCTTTGAGTTTTCTTCCAGTGCAGGCATCACAGGCCACATGTTCAGGTCCAGCAGTAGCTGTGATCAGCAGGAGCAGCTTGGAGTCCGGTCGTCTTCAGCTGCTCAACTAAAGCGGCTAACAGGAAGTTTTTCTCCACAACAGGCCTCCTCGGAGTGAAGCTTCTCCTGCACTGAGGGCAGCCGTAAATATTCTTCTCATCCTCTTTATCCCAGAAGTTGGTGATACACTTCCTGCAATACAGGGAATAGTGACCGGAACCTTCAGTAGATCCAGAAAGATGGAACATGAGAAGCTCTCTGTGTTCAGCTGGAATCCTTTCAGCTCCACACACATCAATTCCCCC